AAAGAGTAGGAAAAGCAGTACTGGGATACAATCTCCAAAATGACAGAATGATCTCAGTTCGAATCCAAGGCAAACCATTCAACATCACAATAGTCCCAAGTCTATGCCCCAACCACTGGTGCTGAAGAGGCTGAAGTTGACCAGTTCTATGAAGGCCTACAACACCTACTAGAATTAACTCCAAAAAATGATGTCCTTATCATCATGGGGGACTGGAATGCTAAAGTAGGAAGCCAAAAGATAACCAGAATAACAGGCAAGTTTGGCCTTGGAGTACAAAATGAAGCAGGGCACAGGCTGGTATTATTTTGTCAAGAGAATACGATGGTCATAGCAAACACTCTTTTCCAACAACCCAAGAGACGACTCTACACATGGACATCACCAGACGGTCAACTCAGAAATCAGATTGATTATGTGCTCTGAAGCCAAAGATGGAGAAGCTCTATACAGTCAGTAAAAACTAGACCAAGAGCTGACTGTGGCTCAGATCATGAGCTTCTGGTTGCAAAATTTAGGCTTAAGTTGAAGAAACTAGGGAAAAGCACTAGGCCACTCAGGTATGACCTAAATCATCCCTGATGAATATACAGTAGAAGTGACAAATAGATTTAAAGAATTAGATCTGATAGACAGAGTGCCTGAAGAACTATGGACGGAGGTTCGCAACATTGTACAGGAGGCAGCAACTAAAACCATCCCAAAGAAAAAGAAATGCAAGAAAGCAAAATGGCTGAGGAAGCTTTACAAATAGCTGAGGAAAGAAGGGAAGCGAAAGGCAAGGGAAAAAGAGAAAGATACACCCAGTTGAATGCAGAATTCCAGAGAATAGCTAGAAGAGATAAGAATGCCTTCCTAAATGAACAGTGCAAAGAAATAGAAGAAAACAAGAGAATAGGGAGGACCAGAGATCTCTTCAAGAAAATTGGAGATATGAAGGGAACATTTCATGCAAAGATGGGCATGATAAAGGACCAAAATGGCAGGGACCTAACAGAGGCAGAAGAGATTAAGAAGAGATGGCAAGATTACATAGACGAACTATATGAGAAAGAGCTTAATGTTCCCGATAACCACGATGGGATGGTCACTGACCTCGAGCCAGACATCCTGGAATGTGAAGTCAAATGGGCCTTAGGAAGTCTGAACAACAACAAAGCTATTGGAGGCAACCGTATTCCAGCTGAGCTATTCAAAATCCTAAAAGACGATGCAGTAAAAGTGCTACACTCAATATGCCAGCAAATTTGGAAAACTCAACAGTGGTCACAGAATTGGAAAAGGTCAATTTACATTCCAATTCCAAAGAAGGGCAATACCAAAGAATGCTCAAACTACCGCACAATTGCACTCATTTCACATGCTAGCAAAGTTATGCTCAAAATCCTACAAGCTAGGCTCCAGCAGTATGTGGACTGAGAACTACCAGAAGTACAGGCAGGATTTCAAAGAGGCAGAGGAACTAGAGATCAAATTGCCAATATATACTGGATCATGGAGAAAGCTAGGGAGTTCCAGAAAAACATCTACTTCTGCTTCATTGACTATGCTAAAGCCTTTGATTGTGTGGATCACAACAAACTGTGGCAAGTTCTTAAAGAGATAGGGGTACCAGACCATCTTATTTGTCTCTTGAGAAACCTATATGTGGGTCAAGAAGCAACAGTGGGAACTGGACATGGAACCACTAATTGGTTCAAAATTGAGAAAGGAGTTCGGCAAGGCTATATACTGTCGCCCTGTCTATTTAACTTATATGCAGAGCACATCATGAGAAAGGCAGAGCTAGATGAATCACCAGTTGGAATTAAGACTGCTGGGAGAAATATCAACAACCTCAGATATGCAGATGATACCACTCTCATGGCAGAAAGTGAAGAGGAACTAAAGAGCCTCTTGATGCAGGTGAAGGAGGAGAGTGCAAAAGTTGGCTTGAAACTCAACATTAAGAAAACTCAGATCATGGCATCTGGTCCTCTCACTTCCTGGCAAATAGATGGGAAAGAAATGGAGGTAGTGACAGATTTTATTTTCCTGGGCTCCAAGATCACTGCAGACGGGGACTGCAGCCAAGAAATTAAAAGATGCTTGCTCCTGGGGAGGAAAGCTATGGCAAATCTAGACAGCATACTAAAAAGCAGAGACATCACCCTGTCAACAAAAGTGCATATACTCAAGGCTATGGTTTTCCCAATTGCAATGTATGGCTGTGAAAGCTGGACCATAATTAAGGTTGAGGGTGAAAGGATTGAGGCCTTTGAATTGTGGTGCTGGAGGAGACGCCTGCGAGTCCCTTGGATTGCAAGGCGATCAAACCGGTCAGTCCTAGAGGAGATCAACCCTGACTGCTCTTTAGAAGGCCAGATACTGAAGATAACTCAAATACTTTGGCCACCTAATGAGAAGGAAGGACTCCCTGGAGAAGAGTCTAATGCTGGGAACAATAGATGGCAAAAGAAGAAGGGGACGGCAGAGGATGAGGTTGCTAGATGGAGTCACTGAGGCAGTTGGTGTGAGCTTAGGTGGACTCCAGGAGATGGTGGAGGACAGGAAGGCCTGGAAGAGTGTTGTCCATGGGGTAGCGATGGGTCAGACACGACTTTGCGACTAACAACAACAACAACAAAGTAAGTAAATAAATATACCACCACCAATAACAACTTACAATGCATAGCAACGGCATGAGCAGTTATGTTACGATAAAGCTAAGCTGGTTGTTCTTTAAGGCATCATAACATGCTATACCAATCAGATGCACTCTAGATGTTTTGGCCTGTAACGGGCTAAGGATGATGGGAGTTGAAGTCCAAAAAATTTGGAAGGCACCAACCTGGGAAAGGCTTTGCTACTGTTTTAGTGGAGCTAACTTTCTATTCAGCTATTCTGAAGGAGTCAGCTGCCCCCTGCTGGCTACTAAAAGGGACACAGCATATCCAGAGTCATTAAAAAGGAAATAGCAACATTTGACCCAGTGTATGAAGTAATTCCCAATTAACTTGTATCAGCAAGCAAAAGGCATAGGCAGCCCCTTAGGACATTTTTTTTTTAAAGAAAGCATTTGGAAAACTGGGAGGCCGCTATGCTGTAAACTGAGTGCTACCATCTGACACTACCTTTACTTGGGTTCAAGAGAGTAGTCCTGTCTTAGGGAGCTCAGGACTCACCAACTGACCATGCCCTCCCTGGCAATCATTTTATGAATGGAAAGGGCCCCCATGCCAGCCACTTTGGGAGAGCACTGACAACTCTCACAAAACTTAAAATGTCCCACTGACCCAAAATGTTTGGGTACCCCAAGACAGAATGACTGAAAGAGGATCTTATCCTATGAACATTTAGGTACAAGACAACCACTTATAATAGTAGTTTATGCTTTAGAAACAGATGGTTCAAAAATGCTGCCATGCTGCCAAGGACATTCATAGAACTTGCCTGTGGCTGGAAGTCCACTGGTTCAAGGCCACGGCACTCAAACTCCACTATTGTCTTAAAGGTCTCACTGTCTTCAGCCTAGGGTTGAGCAAAAGCAACACTTAGCAGTTTTCCTATCAGAGGAATGAAGTCAGCCAGGAACACAAAAAATATATTTCTTGTAATATTAGAATTACATTTCCCAAATAAAAGTAGGAAAATGGCTAAGAGTAAATCAAAGAGGCAGAAGAAAAAGTGTATTATCCTTAGAGCTTATTCATGCCACTGATTGTATCCAAATAATCAGCAATGTGGTATGTGTTGAATTTGTTGTAAATTCTGAGTAGGGCAAATCACCTTTAAAATTATTTTGCTGCCCCTTTTCTATGGATTTGAAATATCTTTAAAATGCATCACTTTCATTCTTTCCAAAATAATGCCTCTCTGCAAAGACACAGTATTTCCCCCCTTGTGCAAAATTTTTATATATTTTATTTACAATATTTTTATCCCATCCTACACAATCCAATCGTCCTGGGATGGCTGACAGTATAAAGAAGCAGTAAGGAAAGATCAAAAATACAATAACAAAATGCGACTGAGAATACTGATAAAGCCAAATTATTATTTTTTAAAAAAACTTAAAATGTTGGGCAAATAAAAAGGATTTACCTGGCACCAAATAAATAAATAAATAAATAAATAAATAAAGTCAACGCCATGCAAACCTCTCTGGGGAGCACATTCCAGTCAGGGCGCCACCACAGAGAAGGCCCTCCTCCAGGTGTTCACTCTCCTAACATCATTCAAGGAGGGATCCCAAAGCAAAGCCTCTGCTCTTAGGGGGTGGGAGGGTGTATAGGGAAGCATATGAGCCTTCAGGTATCCCGGTCCCAAGCTGTTTAGGGCTTTATAGGGCAATACCAGCACATTAAATTAACCCTGGACTTCAATCAAGAGCCAGTGTAGCTGACCGAGGACCGGCATTATGTGAGAATAGCGACTGGCCCCCATCAGCAATCTGGCAGCACTGCAAATACAAACATTTGAGAAAGTCTTGGAGTAAAATCATGTGGTACAATCCTAGCCACGACTATTCAGACAAAAGACACATTAAGTTCACTGGGACGTACTCCTAGGTAACTATAAATAAAACTGGAGCCTAAATTAAAATTTCCTGATCCACAGATCCCCTTTCCTGCACAGTGGAGATGCTCCTCATATATCAGTTCCAGGCGATCTTAATTGTTCTGTTTTCTGCATAAAGATAATTGTGTGGAAGGGCTGCAGCAGGCACAGTGTTGACACAATATGAACAAACCGGCTCCAAACTGTTTTCCTCTAACATAGTGTTCTATGAGGCTTGTAAGGAGCCATTTCAATTTAAGGATCATACATCTCTACATCAATGCAGGCATTCATGGGTACTTGAGCATGGGCATTCCAGTGCATGTCTTGCTATTTGCAATTAAAGTACTCTCCAGATCATGCCCACTGAAGCCTTCATCTTATCCGTAAAAATCAAAGAAAATGAACTTACATTGTAAGGCTTCATTGTGTGACTTAAGATATCTGAAATGAAGAGGGAAAATACATAGCATCTTATAATTACTTGGTTAATTAACATACCCATAGTTAATATGAAAAAGGGACACTGAAATTCACAAACTACTTAAATGGAAAATGATTGAAGCAGAGTCAATGTTAACTTTTAATCAAGAAGTATAAAAGGTATGGGACAACTTGTAGACCATTAAAACATGTTAAAGAAGACAGTGTGCGGGGAGGGGGCGGAGATGCAAATCATAAACTGCTGAGTTTCTCTTTTCAAGGGAAGGATATCTCCAAGGGAAACACAGCAACAACAGTTTGACAGGTTTATAGAACAGCAAACATGTCATCAGAATATTCATTCATTCATTCATTCATTCACTGAATTCCATTTCTATGCCGCTCCATAACCTGAAGGTTCTCTGGGTAGCACCTAAAGTTTTCAAAACCAAAACATGTCGCTACTTTGTAATAACACAACCTGGTGAAAGCAGAATTTAAACAAATGCAATGAATCTAAGGTACATTCAAACTAATACAAAATGTTGTATCTCAAACAGTAATTTCTAGGTAACTATTTAGCATTCTGCCACTCCGGTTTCATATTCATTAGCTATTTATCATCACTTCCTCCACATAACTAACCTTTTGGCTCATGTTAGAAATGGGCAAACTCTGTGAAACTCTGTGTAAGTAATGGGAGTGGGAATTACACAAACTGGGTGAGTGGGAATTACACAAACTGGGTGAGTGGGAAGTACACAAACTGGGTGTGCCTGTTGCACATAGGCAACCAACGATAGCAAGGGTGGGCACAAAGTAAATATTCTGGACTTTTAACTCCCAATATTCCTGGCAATTGGCCATGCTGGTGGGGACTTTTGAAAGCCGAAATCCAAAACATCTGGAAATCTATTTCCTTCCTTCCCTGTTTTACAGAATAGTATTTCATTACTACTTTCGCCCTGCCACTTGGCTGTGACACCGCTGTATTTAGAGCAAGCTGTTTAAATCAGCAATGCTATCATGGCTGAAAGAAATTAAACGTTATAAAGAAAAGTCATCTGAGGAGTTGACAGACAAGCAGAACCTGCCTTGTGTGGGGCCTTTTACATGTTTTTGGACGGTAAATCTCAGCCCCAGTCGCAGGGCCAGTGATCAGCAAGACTGGATACTGTACCTCAAAACCTCTAAGGGGCAGTAGAGAAGGCTGTACAAGGCTCTGGCAAAAACATCAGTGTACACTGGCACATGAGGAGTAGGAAACATCTTCAAAAACAACAAAGATGAAGTATGCCACAAGGCTTGACTACAGTATTAATCAATGGGAACCGGGAGAGCCTGCACGAAATTGGTCTTGATGCCACACAACTGAATTCAAATGAAAATTCTTAAGCATGAACAATGGACCACCTACTTCAGGTTATAATGATTTAGAATAAACTCCGAATGACATCAGTGCCAGTTGCTAACTCTCAGGGACTATTATACCTCCCACTGTAGCTTCTTAGAATGCACTAGTCTCATGCATTTATAAATTATAGTATGTTATTAAGACATTGATATCAAGGCCATATAGTGCAAAAACCTACAACATTCAATAATTGGACAACATGATAAAACAAACCTTCTATGAAGAAGACAGGGTCATCTATTGAAACCAAAACATAACCTGCTGTGTCCAATAGAAGGCTGAAGAAATAAAACAATTTCAACAACTGGCAAAAAAGAGGAAGAGAAAGGGGCATCCATCCTCATGGTGCAAGACAGACAATAAACTGGGTGAAGCAATGAGGAGGCCCTGCAATGACCGATATTAAGAAAATATTTTTTTCAAAAAATGTAAGAGTATGACTGACTGAAAAGAGTCTGTCAAAATAAAATCAGTAAGTAATTTGTGTTAGGATGTACCGAAAGAAGCCTACCTATGGAGTTTTCTCGGGAGCACAGCTTGCATTTCTGTACCATTGTGGCACTTCCCCTGCCCCCTTTGAGAGGGTGGCTGTCCTAAACACAATTCAAAAAGAACCATCAGCAGGGTGGATAAAAATCAATTATTTTTTTAAATAAAAATGTATTTTTAAAATTTAAATAGGATTTTAAAAAGTATAATCCTTTCTGAGGAAAAATATATCTAAATATAATTTTCTGTTTAAGATACATTATAGTCCAAAGGTTATTCATCATGAACTAAGTATTAGTTTTTAATTATGTAGCATGATGCTGTATATTCATGCCAAGCCACTGATGATCCAATCAAGGTCTCAAAGGCTCACATTCATAACCAAAGATCCTGCAGCAAACCAACCAGATACAGGAGTGGGACAATGCAGGGTGACTCTGCGACAGAACCCGGCTGCTCCGTGTGTGCACATAGCCAACTTTGCTCTGGGTTCATGCACACAGAAAACATTCCGAAATCATCAACTGGCCAACTAACACCTGCCGTTCTTTCTGTTATACCACACGCATACATGTATGTGATTGTAAACCGTCCTGAAATTAGCTGTCAGGGATTGACAGCTAATTGACAGCTTGAACTTGAGGCCTAAGGCCCAAACCTAGCCCTCCATTTTCCAGGAGCAGTCCACATATTGCTTCAACATAACTTGAGCCAAGCCTGAATTGCATATGAGACACACCTCCTGGGTGAATAACAATGTGACCTGTGGGTTCATTCAGGCACTTACCATTAATCTGAGGTACTGCCATTTTTCTGAAACCTCACCACAGTTGCCACACTTCAGCTGAAAAATAAAGCAAACACAATGCAAATTAAAGACAGTTAGCAGAGTCCAACATCAGAACTCTCCTATGGAAAAAGAGTGTTCAGATTCAAAGGCAAACATATATGTGGATATGAATGACAAAACACTTCTAACCCATTTCCCATGAAAAAGAACAAATTAATCAAAATCTGGAATAGAGTCAGATACTGGCAGAGATTAGTCCGAAAGATAGCAAAGATTACAGTTGCACTTTCAAATGCCACATGCCTGAGAGGGTTTCTCCAAGCCTGTTATGGAAGAGAAATGTGCTACAGCAAGGACAGGAACTTCTGTTTTGCATCCTATGAGAAAATCTTTGACTGCAGACTTCAGAACTGCAGAACTGCAGTGAAGCCAATGGCCATGTACTTTCATTATTAGCATGTACACCTCATTTAATTAACAGGCAATGCATGTTCAGTAAATGAGGAGTGCATGATAAAAAGTGAAAGTGCCATCTATGTCATAACATTGAAAATGAGGGATATTGGGAGAGACAAGTTAAAGATCTAAAAAAGGGGCAAACAAGAATCAATGTGAGGTGTAGTGTCTACAGTACTGAACATGGACTGGAAAACCCAGGTTCAAATCTATCAAATACTTTTTTAGTCTAACCTACCTCACACATTTGTTGGGAGAATAAGAGACTGAACTGCTCCAAATGCATTCATGCTGATAAAGGATTTAAAACAAACTTTAGCCTGATAAGATTTGCAAGTGTCTAGCTAAAAGGTCTATAGCAGTAATGGGAAGTGTTCATATTTGGGCTCAAACTATCACATAAGAAAAACACAATGTGAATTGAGAATATGATCTCTAGCCCCAAATGCTGGGGTATTGGCTGTGGTCATTTTAATGGTCACAGAAAAATATTTTGCACATTGTACTTATTGATGCTTCATACATTTCAAGAGCCAGAAAATACTGGATCAAATTAAAAACTGCAAAATTGACAACTGAAGCTGCAAACACGTTTTCTGCCACACTCGCAGTCTGGACTGCTAACTAAGTTAGGGAAGGGAGCAGCACACTCAGTTAGTAAAAATACTGCAATACACACATGTAGCAACGTGAAAATACTGTCGTTGCTAATATGCGTGGACAGGTTAGCACTCCTCTGCGAGCCATACCTTCAGGTACCACCGAAAATCCTCCCCCACTGGTCTGAGGTGTGTAACATTTTCCAAAGTGGCTTTAAACTGCAACCCGATCTTCTGCAAAGAGAGACATCATCTCATCGGTTATGCAGTTGGGGGCGGGCACCAGGCAAGGAAAAGCCATCCCCAACCCCCGCGCGGCTCATCTGAATGTAGGGAGACCCTTCCTCCTCTTACCCCCATTTTATAATATAAAAGGATGGCGCCGAGAGGGAAGTCTCCAAAGAGGGCGCGCCGAGGCTGGGGTCGCCTCGGCCCTGGAGCACAGCTGCAGCACCACGAACACAGCAGTGCCCAGCTGTCTGCAGGGGCCGAGGCTGGTCACGGGCAACACACACCCGCAGAAGCATCCGCGACGAGAACTAGGCCTCCGAATCTCGCGAGACTTGACACGTGCCATTCTCCGGCCGCCTTCACTGTTGCCCCTTGCGTACACGTCAGTAAACAACGCAGTACGCGCGATTTGCCCTCATTCAAGATGGTTGCTGCTGCTTCCTTCAGCTGGTATAGCTAGAGAACGCCCCGAAAAAAAAAATCTCTTACTGAGCTGTTTAAGGAATTCGGCTAATGCCTGACGCTTCCCTTCGGTCTCTTCGTATAGAGCTAGATTGGAAACACTCAAGAGACAATGTGTGTATCAACTCAGTGAGAGGTGAATTCTGTCCGCTGCATTTTGAGACTTCAGGATGTCTGCGTTCAGGATGCATGGGCAGGGTCGCAAAAGAGGCGGCAATGCTGCTGGATTTGGGTTCATCGAGACCCGAGAACAGGATGCAATTTCTGCGGCGAATCTCTTATGCTCCAAGTCGCTTTCAGTTTGCTCAGCGATGTGATTAAACATGATTAACGGAGCAAGCCTGTACAAGTGGTACTTAATTGTACCATTGAGTTCAATGGCATTTGCTCCCAGCTGTATGCATATACGATTCTAACTTTGTAATATAGGATTGTAACAACTATGAAACGAAGTCACCTGAAATCCATCACTCTCTGGGGCTGTGTGTGTAACCTTGAGAATGTTAGCCTAGTGCACTGTGTCACCTGTAAGTCTTGTAGTGCCCATGTTGTTCATATAATCAATTTTAAAAGATCGAAGTGATTTCTTACAATTTTTATTACAAAGCTGCAGAAAACTGCTCTGTGAAGCCCAGTCACTATCCAAGAGCTTGAGATTATTATACAGGATAGATTGTAGAACTCGTTTCTATCGGAAAAATGGAGCCAGTACTACATTGCAGCATTGTTGTAAGCCACTGGGCAGGTTCACATCTAACAGGCATTGGTGGAAAACATGGGAGCATGGCTTGTCATTATGTTCAAACCCAGCAAGTATGGTAAAGCATGGCACATTTGGTCTCTGTGGTACCACATATAACAGCTTGGTTCTAAGGTGTTTATGCTTCACCATTGCTTGTTTTCCTGTCCGAGCCTGGAAACCACAAACAAGAAGCAGCACTACTTGCTTTATCCATGTAATGCATTACTACAGAAGAATGCAAAATTGCAATTCCTGTGGCAAAGAAAAAACAACCTAGATAAGATGCCAGAAGGAACTATTAGAATTGCTAAAGCTAGGCAAAAGCAGAGGGCAACAAACAGGGTCAGAATCTTGAATGCAACTCTTCAGCAACTCAGAGCAAAAAGAACTATTTCAATGGCCAGTCGAAAGCCAGAAGAGAACAAATGTTTTGTGAGCCGCCCCGAGGCTTTGGCGAATGGGGTGGCATAGAAATTTTCTAAATAAATAATAATAAATAAAAGAGAATAAAGATGACACGTCTTCCAGAAGATCCAAAAAATCAAGGTGAAATTCCAACCTTGACCAGGAATGCTAAGAGGTAAGCTGAATAAGATACTATAAAATATAGAAAAGGTGGAGACAATATACAGAATATATGGAAGAGATAACAGGAGAATGACTCCTCCAAAAAGGAATCCATGAAAAACCTGCAATATTATAAAGCCAACTGAAAGCTGTTGTGAAAGCACCTGAAAAGAATGAAGCATCCAGAGAATTTCACATCAGTCTTATGCTTTAAAGATTACAGCAAAACCTATTACTGTCTGTTTCATGAGAAGCTATGGATGGTCCTGAAAGAAATGGGGATGCCTCAACATTTGACTGTGTGTAACCTCTATCATAAACAAGAAACTTGTTAGGGCAGAATATAGAGAAACAGGATGGTTTCCCATAGGCAAAAACATCAGTGAAGGGTGTATTTTATCTTCCTCCCTGTTCAAGCTGTATGCAGAATGTATCCACAGGAAAGCTGGTTATGTTCAAAGGACAGACTGAAAATTGGTGGATGATACATCAATAATTTAAGATACACAGATCCCATATTACTGGTAGAAAGCAGAAATGACTCCTGATGAGTGAAATTAGTGCAAAATCAAAACTACAAAAAACAGAAATCATGACTACAGTAGAATTACAGAACTTTTTTTTGTTAACAGTAAAGAAAGAAATTGAAACTGAGTTTCTGTAAAGCCATTATTTTTTTTTAATATGGGTGGTTTAATTTCTTGATGTATCATAGTAGCAGAGTCAATATCACAACAACTTGGATATTTATATGATTACCCTTTAAGCCTCTGCTAACTAAAAAGGAATAATTGATTTTTTAAAACAAAGTTAAATATAAGTACATAATAGGTACATGTTCTGTACCGGTACTGACTGTAAGTGGAAGACCAGATTTATGCATTATACTGACTAACAGAGTGTGTCTGCTTGCAGCAAGATACTACAGCAGCAAGTAGAATCATTCCATCAAGGTTCAGCACAAGTGAAAAGGAAAAGTAAAGTTTGATCGGCTTGTCTTGTGCTGCACAAAGAAGGGACTTTGGCAGCCCATATGACTATGTCTAACTGCCTGTTGTTGCAATGCCTGTTTTGAAAAGGAGTTAACTCTTGTTTATTCTAGGATGTGCTGCTCTCACATTTTGGAGCAAAAGACAACAAGAGCATACTATTGTTATTCTAAAGTCTGTACTGCAACCTCCAAACGAATACACCACTCCCAAAAGGCATTGATTGCAAACACTTTCTAAATAAAAAAGAAAACAGGTTTTTAGTATTTATTAAATGCACTCTGTAAAAAATTGACATACATAAATGAAATAAGGAATGAAAGTGACACCACCCAAGAAAATTTTACATAATAAACAATTTAAATGGGCTTAATCTTGAAGTGCAATCCAATGAGACTAAAGACTAGACACTTGAGGTCCTGGACAAGGTAATAAAAGACTCTTAGACCTTCTGGATCCCTGAAATATAAGAGGAAAAATATTAAGTCAGAATCTTTAAGAACTTATATTAGGTGATTAAAATAATGATCTCTATTAGGAAAACAGTTAAGGATCTTGTGATGCTCATCAAAACCTTAGACATCTTTTGAAAGTACTGCAAAATGTATTTGTTCTGGCTTTTCAGGGCTGGGGAGAAACCAATATGAGATGGCTTTCGCATGATGCAATCTGTTTAATCTCAGAGTCAGACAAGCTAAATCAGTGACAAGCCAAATAATGGAATGATATTCTACAACTGAGACCAGTTCAATCTGTTCATGTTTAGGTATACTTAAATTCTCATTCATAGTGACTGCCTTCTTCCATATAAACCTGCTAGTCCTTAAAATCTTCTGGAAAGTCCCTCCTTTCAAGACTGTTGCCACTGGAGGGGTGTGTTTGGTGGCAACATGAGAAAGGGCCATTCCCACCCTGTGGAACTCTTTCCCAAGGAAAGCCAATTTCACACCAGCAAGCAAACACCATTTTATTCGAGTGGGGCTTTGGCTTTTAAGTGGGTCTACTGTTTTGGATGTTGCATTTATTCTGTATTGATACACTTTATTTTATTTTATTTTCAGCTTATTTTTCTATGCTGTCTTGAGTGCTATTTATTGGCAGAAAGGCAGGGTCTAAATCATGCAAGTAAGTAAGTAAGTAAAGATGCCATAACTGAGACCAACTCAGTTACTGGTTAAACTTAGTTAAAAGCTCATGAACAAAAACATTATTTTTAGCTTCAGCAATTAATGCATTTACAGGTGCATCTCATGCAAGGCAGAATCTCACAATTTCTTTCCTCTATGTCTCTGTGATCCTTCTACTACTGTTTCCCTTTGTTCCCTTCTTTATGAACCCCAAACAAAACCCAGTTCCTTCTCTTCCTAAATAGGATGCAAGTAAGATAAGCAGAGAATCAGGGCTGTCATACTCATACACACATTCATTTGTTCTAACGACTTTTAAGGTAGTTTTAGGAGTGCCACCGTTAGAATAACCAAATTTATATTTTTTGAAGATTAAAAATCATCCTAAATGATGACTCTTAGTGAAAACAGACAAAAACATCATTCCAGAGCACTTAGTATTAGCTATGGTGACTAGTCAATTCATTCTTCAGAGAGCACTTACTTGGACTGATTCACATCAATAAGAGAACCAATTTTTGATGTCGTAAAAGAGATGTGTTCATCACCAATTACAATTTCAAGCTCCTAGAAAAATAAATAAATACCTTTAGAGCACTAAAGCAGCAAGATTACCACTTCATGTATATTATGATGCCAGATTCTCTACAGCATAGTCTCTTGCAAAATCTTCCTCAAAATGCATTCAAGTCTAGAACAATTCATTCTGTTCATTAGGTTTAGATCTAAAACTTCTCCACCTGTTCACAGGATCTGTAGTACTACATAGTGGAAACAACAATTGTACCACCCAGCTCTAGCTTGCTGGAGGGTATAACCCTAACCCTTCCATCTGTGAAGAGAAGTTTTGCTAGCAGAAAGAAGTCAGTCCATTCATGCACAGCTCTGTATGTTTTGGAGCCTTCTGTCAGTCACCAAATCAATTGCTGCAAGTGGCTGGCAGAAGGCTCCAAAACAAAATTTTGAGGGAAAAACACTGGTGGCTTTGGGCACAAAGCTCCATTAATTGCACAAGATTGCTCTGTTATACCTTCCTGGAGCTGACAAAGTAAAATTCTTCCTGTTGCTTAAAATGGGGTGCAAGAGGTGGTGAAAGAGATTTTAAAAAACAATTGGCTAGGCTGGAATACCTGGCAAATCCTACCTTTCTTGCCTGCGACAGAGATTCAATATTTATTTATTGCATTTGTATGCCGCCCCATAGCCCAAAGCCTCTCTGGGAGTCTCACAAGAACAGCAAAAACCATTCACATAGTATCACAGAACCAGAAAAAAAAGATCAAAACCGTAAAATCCAGTATATAGCACGAAATCTAAATTGTACAGAATATGAAACGAGAATAAATTAAAATGGAAGAAAGCAAGCAGCAATATTACCATAAAATATTAACAAAATAAAACTAAAAACAAGTATTAAATAAAAATGTCTTTTCCTAGTGACAGAAATCAAGTAGCAAGGGTGTCAACCACACTTCCTTGAAAGGGCATTCCAGAAGCAAGGCAGGATAGTAGAAAATACCCTTCTCCTCCCCATTTCTCCCCTTACACATCCTTGCCCACCATCCCTGACCCCAGTTACTTCTCCTACAACTTAAATGCTGTCCACATGTTTGTGTGCTGGTCAGCTGAGGACATCCGGAACAGAAGTAAGAAATTTGCTAACCTGCCGACCAACTCTGTCAGGAGGTGGCCATAATGCATCATCTTCTTTTGTAATTTCACTGTCATCAATTATCCTCTTTAGTTCTTCCATCACACTTTTGTGTACATAGGCCTAGGCACAATGTGTAAATATCAAAATTAGTTTTTTTAATTAAAAAATCTACATGTTTGTGTGAGAGACAAAGAGAGAAACTGCCTAATGCCTTCTCTTACCCATATAGTGCTAACACAGGAACCAATACATATGGTGCAGTGGTTAAGAGCATGGGACTGGGACTCAAGTGATCTGGGTTCTAAACCCCATTCAGCTATGGAGCTCGCTGGGTGACTTTGGGCCAGTCAGGCTCTCAGCCAAACCTACCTCAAAGGATTGTTATTGTGAGGTAACACTGAAAAGAGAATTATGTAAGCCACCTTAAGTTCCTTCAAGGAGAAAAGGTGGGATATAAATATAATAAAGGAGATTGATATGTAACTATAAATATACAAATAAAGGAAAAGTGAATAAATTATAAGTATATGAATGCATAAATAAACGATCTGTAAATAAATAAGGGCAATGATAATCATGACCTTTGAGAAACAAGCACAAATCATTTCTGACATTATTTATACTGTTCAAGTTTTCCTCTAGATATTACATTTGTGACAGAAGTTTTTTTTCCTGAACACACATTATATGTGCAGAACAAAGAGGTAGAAGCTGTATCACTCTTCAGACATTTCTGACTACTACTAACATTGGCCTTTGCCAGTATAGTCAATGGAGAAAGATGGAAGGAGTTGCAATTCATTGCCTTTTAGAAAGTCACTAGTTGACCATTCCTGGTGTAAAGGAAGAACCTGAAAGATTAGCTACATTACTACAGTACAATATTTCAAATTTAGAATCCTGTCTTTCAGTAATAAAGCTAAAAGAGGGTCTATATTTAAGAACATAAGAGATGTTGCCAGTTATTTCCTTTTACTACATTTCAGGGTCTTCACAGTTCTCTAGACAGCCCATGATACCAGGATCTAACTATATGCAGTAATTTTTAATGCAACATACATGAATGATTGATATTAGAAAACTTACTTCTTTTCTGATCATGACATCATTTTTATAATTACTGTTGTTTGCATATCTCAGTTTACCTGTTGAAAAAGAAAAACTCAAAATTAATAGAACAGGAAGGCAGTAGGCTGGTTCACATGATCAAAACAAGCCATGGCAGCTTCTTATGAACCATGTGCACTGGATGCAATTTGTATAATCACAATCCAGCTGTGGCTTGATGGGCTGTTCACATTCAGACTTGTTGGAGGATTAAACAACTATCGACACATGGGCTGTTCTAGGTTATTTGAGGGGTGTTTCCACACCCAACAAGCCATGAAGACCCAAGTGGGTGACTTTAGGCCAGTCACAGACTCTCAGCCTAACCTACCTCACAGGGCTGCTGTGTGGGGATGAGATGGAGAGCAGCAAGAGGAGACTGACGTAAGCCAGTTTGCATTCATAAGAAAAAAATGGGATATACATTTGATAAATGAGGAGGCCAAGGTTTGGCTGATATAACAAGATACAACTGTTCAGTAATTATGTCAGTCATGCCTGATGCAGCTTGCTTACAAACAAGACACTACTGTTTGACTTGATCATGTAAACTTTGCCACTTGCATAAATTTGTTTTCCTTTTTACTTCAATAAAGCCAAAACATCAGTTTTGGTTCTGTAAACTGAGGAGGAGGCAAAGAAGGGAAGCACAGCTCCTTCACGTCGCCGTTCAACTACCTTCCGATTCAATCTCTCTTCCATACGACGGTCCAGCTTCACATAATTTCTGACCTATCAGTCATGCTTACCAATGCTTTAACACTTGTACTGAGTCAGATCACTGGTTCACCTAGTCCAATATACACTCGACATAAACTGGCAGCCGTTTTTCAGGATTTCAGGCTAGAGTTCTTTCAGCCCTAGCCAGGTAAGACGAAGATGAAAGCCAGACCTTATCCATGAGAGCGGGGGCGCTACCAAGGACTACGGTCCCATCTTCGAAGCGATTTCCTTTCTTCGTCAGTTATCAAGTTCCACTCCGCTTTTCCAGCCCCGGGTCTTTTGCCCGCCACCCTCCTAGGCCTTCCTCTACTCCCTGAAGCAAGCCCCCTCTTTCCTACCAGCAGCATGTGCCTCCCAGCCCCCGAGTCCCGCCAAGCCTGATATTCCTGGCATCTTCTAACCGTCTGAGTCTCACCGTCCGGCCGGAACTCGAATTCAAGGAACTCGTGGCCAAACTTGCCCTTGTGTCCAACGTAATAGCGTAGATAGAAATCGCTCGCCATGGCACCCGCGCACCCGCCGAGTACCAGCATGCAACGCGCACGGTTAGTTCCTTTCTCCAAAAAGCGGCGCGCTTGATAAACGTCACTAAAGCGAACGGCTGAGGATCATGACGTCAGGCGGGAGGAGATAAGAACCTGATTTCTTTTAGCTGTTCTCTTTCGTGCGCGCGCAGTTATAAGACATGCATATAGAGATAGGAAATTAGAGTCACAAACGCTTCCTTTTTTTAATTAAAAGGCTTTCCCACTTTTCAGTGCAGAGTGTATTGGGTTTTCACCACAGATTTGGCAAGGATTAAACCCACGCTGCTCTTGACGATGCCTGCGGATTGCTAGAAGCCGTAGTCCCTCTGGTGGGCACCAGGCTGGGGAAGGCTGCAGCGAGCACGTTCCCGACCTGTGTAAAATTGTAGTCCATGCGTATGATTTGCTTTAGCTTCACATACGTTGTTCAGCTTCCGGTTTCTTTAAAATACTTACATGGTTGGCTCTCTCGGGGTGGACGTGATTTATAGCCGCAGGTAACAACTGGAAAAATCCATAGCATGAGAACGTGAAGCTTGTTTTCAGGCCTAGAGCGTGACCTAGGACTTCCCAGCCGGTTCATAGTGTAGGGGCTGCGGCTGCTTTGCCTTCTCAATTTCAAATCTCCCCCGAAGGCCGAAGTGCGTGTTCCGTTTTCCCTGGAGCTTTGGGCGAGCTTACTGCCACCTCTTTACAAAGAACCTTTAAAATGCAATCCATGCTCGTTTACATACGTGCGATTGAACCCTGAATAGCTTTGTGGTCACTAACCATTCTTTCGACCAGCACGAACATATTACAAAAGGATGCGACTAAAATGCTCTAAAATTAAGAGGAACCCGCAAGAGAGGAGTTTTAAAAGAGGCAGGAGGTGTGCTTCCAGCTACCAAAAGGGCGCCGGCATTCCTGGGGTACTGAGTAAGCGGGGCTTTAACGGATGAAATTTCATTTAAGGTTACCAGGTTAGCCGCGATTCAGTAGTAGTCTATTTGCAGCTGCTTCAGAGTTATTAACGTTCTTATGGCGCGATCCTATGCAGGTTAAGGGGGGAAAACTTACACATTCTGGGAGTTATAGGGCTTTTTTCTGTCTATATATGAATATGCCTTTTTCTAAAGAAAGAAAAAGACTTGAAGGTATCTGATGGCAGAACGATGTCACTTTCTTGGCAATGGTAGAATGGTTGCAAAGCCAGAGGGTCCAGTGAATAATAGTTGTTGTTACCGTTGGTTCCTTTTAACAGGCATAAAATTATGCCTATGCTAAAGAGGAACTTCCGTTTAGGGACCCCCCCCCCCTTCTATGTATAGGGGAGAAAGGGACTTGGCACATGCTCAAAGACATTTTGCCTGGGGTCCAACATATTTTATACACATGTATATTAAAGGAAAGGAGGTGTGCCTTAATTGATCATGCAGTGTGGTATCTATTTTGGTATATTTGACCAGTGCCAGGGGCATTCAAGGCCTGAGAGTAAGAAGTTGCCAGTCATACTGCTTACTCTCTCCAGCCAGGCTATGTGAACTGTTCATCATCTTTCAGGATCCAGGAATTGCAAAACTGGTCCCAGCAAATGGCTAGGGATTTACTAGTAGGCATAATCTGGGTTGAATTTGGAACTGAACTGAAAAGTACAATTGCTATTTATAGCAGCACATCTTATTTGTGAGATTGATCTCAAAGAGTTTTATGCTGTAATCCTATTTACCTGTAAGGTAAATAGAAGTAAGCCCCTCAGTGGAGGAGATGATCAGTAAGGACTTCTGAAAATCATCAGCAAATTCATGCCTCAGCTGTATTTCAGCCATTGGACATCTTCCAAGTTACAAAAACTCAAATTGCAGAAGGGGCAATGAAGAGAACTCTACTGGTGTATGATAACTCCTTCCTCCACCTTAAATGCCAGATTAAAGGTAAAGGTTTCCCCATGACATTAAAGTCCAGTCATATCTGAGTCTTGGGGTCAGTGCTCATCTCCATTTCCTAGCCAAGGGAGCCAGAGTTTGTCCACAGACAGTTTCTACGGTCATGTGGCCAGCATGACTAAACACCGAGGTACATGGAAGGTTGTTACCTTTCCACCGAAGTGGTACCTATTTATCTACTTGCATTTATATGCTTTCAAACTGCAAGGTTGGCAGGAGCTGGGACAAAGCATGGGAGCTCACCCCATCCTGCAGATTCGAACTGTTGACCTTTCGATCAACCAGCCCAGCAGCTCAGCAGTTTAAACCACTACACCACACACAGTTCTTTAAAATCATGATCACCACCAAAATTATGGAGCAGAACAAAGTCCACAAGATGGAGTGCTGTGGCAAAGAAACCAGAATGACAGTGAGCATGAGCAGACCTTAGATAGGTGACTACCTCTAAAGTATTCATCAGCAGACCTCTATTATTGTTTTTAAAAGTCACAATTACTTTATTAAGGAGCAAGGCTTTCTGGATATGGCCTCTAAATCCCCATTTGGCTTATAACTAGGCTACTTGAAAAACTGCCTTCTTTCATACATGCTCGCTCAGCTTTTAAGATCTTCTAGAGAAGCCCTTCTTTTGAGACTACAACCTTCAGAGGTGTTTGACAGTGACCTGAAAGATGACCTTATGGATGGTGGTTCTCAGGCAGTGGAGCAGTCTCCCTCAGTTGTCATCCAGCTGGCAGGCAAAGCCACTTTATTCAGGAATGCTTTCTGCCTGTAGGTAGATCTATTGGGTTGGGTGTTGCCCTTGAGTTTTTAATTCTGTAATTTTAATTCATTTTAATTGTGCATGTAAGTTGCTTTTAGCCTGCAGCAACATACATGTTTACAGGAAGTTTGGTTGTAGTTCAACTCCCAGATTATTTTGAGCTTTAACCAATGAACTGTCCCATATATTACCTCTAGGGTATGGCTTGAGTTTTGTTCCGTGGGAAGAATTCTAGGAGGGAAAGAATACATATGTGCCTGTTGTTGTTGTTACCTATTTCATTTCTATACCACCCCTAGTCACAGCTCTCTGGGCAGTTTACAACAAAGTACAAAAACAATAAAATACATTATTAAAATGAATATAAAATAACATAAAAGCACAGTAAAAGACAGTAAAAGACAATTTAAAAAGACTTGGTCAAGAGTAAAGTACCTGGCTAATTGTATCAGGCCCCAGGATGACCAGGGAGGTCTTTAAAGGCCCTGCACAGAGGGCTGTCTTAAACTGGCACCAATGATATGGCAAATCAGGCAAGCCACAGCAGGGAAGTTGATCCAAAGGTGGGGGGGGGGGCATCACCAAAAAGGTCCTCCCCTAGTTGCCACCAGTTGAGCCCAGATAAAGGCCCTGGAGGCCAAACATAGTGTCTGAGTAGATGAGGGTTGGGAGAGGCACTCCAACAGGTATTGTGGTCCCAAGCCATGTAGAGCTTTATAAGTTAAGACCAGCACCTTGAATTGGGACTGGAAGCACAGGCAGCCAGTGCAAGTGGGCAAGAACTGGTCTTACATGTTCAGACCTCCAGGTCCCCGTTTTAAATCTGGCTGCTGCATTCTGCACCAACTTCTGAACCATTTTCAAGGGCAGCCCCATGTAGTGTGCATTTCAATAATCTAGAGATAATCTAGAGATTACTAGACCACAGATTACTGAAGCCAGGCAATCCTTGTCCAGGTAGGGGCACAGCTAGGACACCAGCTGAAGCTGCTAGATAGCACTCTGAGCCATCAGTGCCACATGAGCCTCAAGTGACAAAGATGGATTAAGGAGCACCCTCAAACTATGAACTTGCTCCTTCAGGGTGTGTGTGTCATGATCTGTCTAGAGCAGATTTGAACTCCCACCCCCCAAAAAAAATCTGGTAAAAGGAATCACCCACCAGCAGCATCTCAGTCTCGTCTTGTTAATCCTCATCCAGTCTACGGCCAGGCACAGGTTTAGCATATCTACAGCCTCACCTGCTCATGATGAAAAGTTGAGAGAGACCTGTGTGTCATCAGCATTCTGATGATGATGCACTCCAAAAGTCCAGAAGACCCCATTCATCAGTTTCATGTAGAAGTTAAAAACTGGGGGACAGAACAGACCCCCGAGGAACTCCATGCTGGAGAATCCAAGAGACTGAACAAGATTCCCTAAACATCACCACCTTCTGGAGATGGCCCTTCAAGTAGGAGTGGAACCACTGCAATGCAGTGCTCCCCACTCCCATCTCAGCCAATCAATCCAGAAGGATACCATGGTTGATGGTACTGAAAGTCACCAAGAGCTCCAGCAGTATCAACAAGGTTGTATTCCACCTGCCTTACTCCTGGAATAGGTCACTATTCAGGGAGTTCCTCATACTCAGAGCATCATCCTCAAATCCAACCATGAAGACCAAATCTAGCGTATGCCCTACCACATGCGTTGGACCAGTGACATGTTGGGACAGTCTCATGGTTGTCATTGCAACCTTAACCCTAATCCAGCCAAAATAGTCTGTAATTATACTGGTCTTATAGAAATCTTTGCCTTCCACAGTCCAGCCACACTGTTAGATGTGGACATTATTGTTTGCAGTAGCTAGTGGAAACTTGGCTTTTAAAAAAGCATCTTTAGCTGGTTTTAAAAAATATTGTTCCTTTTTTATTGCTGCACTCAGATTTGTTCAATTTTTTTAAAAAAATATTTGTATTGCTAAAAATAAGATGTGATATTTAAACATTATGTGGTATGTTATGTACATTGAGCTCCTTATTGTAGAAATAAGATGGGATATATGGTTTCTTTAAAAACTAAATAAAACCTTTGTTCTTGGTCTGTGCTCTCTGATTAGGAACAAATGGTTATTCCAGCTTTCTGCACCAAACTTGCATTTATTTTTAGTAAAAATCTACTCTCTTTTGCAGCTAACACAGTGCACCCAACTTTACCTGGAATCTCAAAAATAGGCTAGCAGACTGTCAGAATAGCAGCTTCCTTGCATATAATTAAAAAATATAGGTACAGAAAGCTGACTGCTTTCAGAAAAAGGAAGGTTCTGATGTCAGAACAAGCTTGTAAAAGAG